GCTCTGGGGCCATCATCCTCCCACCTCTCCTCACGCAGGCACCTCTGGGGGAGGGGAGCTTCTTCCCCACACACAGCAGCAGAAGTTGTGCTCATCGTGATGGAGGAAACAGTCCTGAAACCAAAGCTGTGTCCATGGCACTGTTTTTTATTCCCTGCTGTGATCAAGTTTACATGATCTGTATGACAGTTCTGTCTTTTTCTTCTGACAGGTCCTGACTCGATATCCACGTCTACCACAACAGGTATTTACTATTTGCTCACCATGTTTCTACCTCAAGATCATTTAAATAGTTCTGCTCTCTGTGACAACTGCGGTACTGCACTGCCCTGAGCAGCACTGAGCCAAATTTCCCCCTCTCACAGAGGTAGAGGACCCTGCCCACGCCACTAGGGACAGGCACTCAAGGCACTTGGGTGATGGCTTCAGCGGCACCTGCTGCCACGAGGGTGAACAAGGAATGCTGGTGTTCTGTGAGAGATGATGTTTTACCCTGGGTGTAGATACACATGCTCACAGATACGGGTGCCATTCACCCTCGAGGGCAGCAAGGCCACCAGCTGCTCCACAAAAAGGCAAAAGGGAGCCTACTGCAAAACACAGTGACTAAAGGGCAGCTCCCATTTCAATGCCAGCCTTACTGCCCCTTCATGTTCATGTTGCGCTGGCCTCACAGACCTTGCTTAGCTTACCTCAAAACACCCCAATCACTCGCTGAAGTGTGGCTTTTGCTTTCTCTAGGGACAGTGCCTACGGAGGCTACGACAACAGAAATCACAGGTATTTCCGTTCACGCAAATATTCCCGAATGGCCCGTGGCAGGGTTGCACGCTCTAAAGGCTGTGAGGATTTCGGAACCATCCTTTATAAAGGGGGAGTGCCCAATCTTCCACACGCATTCCACAACATTAAAGACAATCTCTGCTGTAAATTCGGCTCTAAATGAAGACGCGCACAGCAGCAGGTCTCTCTTACGGTCACAGGTAGGCCCAAAGACTTCAGTATGCCCTTTCCTTTCCCTAGGGACAGTGTCTACAGAGCAGACAACAACACCAGTACCAGGTAGTTGAGGAGCACCACCGGGAAGGCCGCTCCACAAAGGCCTCCACGTGACCACGCGTCTCCATCTGCTTCCCCAGAAATGGCCCTGCGCCTGGTGGACAGCGATGGCCCCTGCTTGGGGCGCCTTGAGCTCTTGCACAATGGCACTTGGGGCACCGTGTGCGACGATGGCTTTGACCTGAGCGATGCTGCAGTGGCGTGCACGCAGCGGTCATCTCCGTCCACGGCAGCGCCGTCTTTGGAGAAGGCGCCGGCCCTGTGCTCCTGGACGAGCTCGCCTGTGCAGGGGATGAGGCGTCGCTCGCACAGTGCCCTCACCAAGGGCTGGGCATCCACGACTGCCGCCACACGGAAGACGCCGGCGTCGTCTGCGCAGGTGCTCCCAAACTCCCCTCCCATCCAAGCCATGCTCGCACAAACACTTTCATCACTTACACAACAAAACCTTCCTTTCCCCAAGAACCAACCCACCTGCTCTACCAACCACCAAGTCCCTTCTTTAACTGAAAGGCAGCTCTGGGGCTACCCTCCTTATGGCTCTCACCTGGGCACCTCTGGAGCAGGGGAGCTTTTTCCTTGCACACAGCAGCACAGGTTCGGCTCACCCTGATGGAGGAAACAACCCTGAAACCAAAGCTGTGCCCATGGCACAGGCTTCTTTGCTCTGCCATGAGCACATGTACTCCTCCAGCACCGTGACAGGGAATAGGGCACAATTGCTCAGCTGAAACACCAACCCACAGGCTTCCCTAAGGATTCACAACAACTAACCCATCACACCATTTGGGGAGAGCCCTGACTGTACTGATGGTTCTCCTCCTTCATTATCAAAAGACATGCTCATTTTTACATGATCTTTTTGACAGTTCTTCTTTTCTCTCCTGACAGGCCCTGGTTCGATGACCACATCTAGCCCAACAGGTACTCACTACTTTCCTCTCCATGTGGCTGCCTTAGGGTCACTCACATAGGTCCCCTGCTCACGGGCAGTGCTGATCTGCTCCTCCTCAACAGCACTGAGCCAAGTTCCCACTCTCACAGAGGTGGAAGGGCCCCTGCCTACACCACCAGGCACAGCCACCCAAGGCACGCGGGTGACGGCCATCCCACCTCCAGATACTGCTCTCATGAGGCACATTGGGGGATGCTGGTGGCCTTCAAGAGCTGCTCATGCATACTGGTGCCATCCACCCTCAAGCACAGCTGTAGCAGCAGGTGCTTTTCATGGCCAGAAAGAAGCCTACTGCAAAACACAACGACTAGAAGGCAGCTCCATCATCCTCCCACACCTCTCTGCACCTTCATCTTCACGTTGCGTTGGCCTCACAGGCCTTGCTTAGCTTACCCCAGAACACCCCAATCATTCACTGAAGCTCGGCTTTTGCTTTCTGTTGGGACAGTGCCTACAGAGTCAATGACGATGGAAATCACAGGTATTCCTGTTCATGCAAATCTTGCTACCTTGCTCGTGGCAGGGTTGTATTCTCTAAGTGGAGGTGTCCTCTCTTTTGAACCATCTTTTAAAAAGGGTTCATTCCAAATCCTCAATACACAGAGCACAAATTTAAAGGCAATCGTAGCTCTAAACAAAGGTATCAAGCAAGAAATATATGGCATTAAGACTATATTATATTCATAGTCGTGTATCTGCTGTCTTTAAAGTGTGCGAATCCATATCTGTGCTCCAGATACCTGTTTATCAATAAACCTAGTAACCACTTTGCTGATTTCCACTGCCATCTGACCTGATTTTCTGTTGACCTAGCAGTTGTCATCAAAACTGCTGCTCTATAAGTTGGACATAGATTCATCCAGTCTCAATAGCCACCTGCTGAGGACACTGGGTATTATTCCATTTTCCTTTTTTTTTTGTATTGTGAAACTGTTAAATCTAAAAAGAGGCTTTTTGAGCTATGAGTCTGTAGTTGCACTACTATTTCCCTTTGAAGTGAATTGTGCAAGTTTTGAGTGCAATGCAGGAATGTGATAGGACATTTTAAGAAAGCATGGTAACCCTGGGATAGTATTCTGCAAATCCCTATCCCCAGGGGTCTTCACTATAACAATACATCCCATATATAATTCATTTCTTTCTTCATTATTTCCTAATATTTGCAAACGTCTGCTTTACAAAGGTGTCTAAATTTGTTTTTTCGTTTGTTTGTTTTCTTTTGGAATTACCAGCTTCTCCATCTAGCACCCAGAAATGGATTACTTCACGTAAGCAATGGAATAAGTGTTCTTTATCATGTAACTATTGAGAAAGTAGCCTGCAATTCTGCTGTGGCTTTCCTGTTTTCAGTTTTATCTCATGGAAATAGCAGGTATCTCTACTATACTATGACAGACCCTTTCTTTGTCTTGTCCTGACTGCACTCGACATCACCAGTGTGGCCATGGAGATGCAGATGTGCTTGTGCTGATTGCTGCTTTAGATACAGCCGATTTTCCTAAATGTAGGAACCCTTCCAGACTCCTCCTTCCAAGGCTGGCAGATCACTTAAGCCCAGTAATCTAAATTTCCTGTGCTTTACAGCACAGCCTGCCTCTTTTCACCACAAAACAGCCAGCTTGCTTATGCACAGCTCACCCATGAGCCCCTAAGCCCTTTCTAATCAGTGAGAATCTGATATTTTCTGTGAGATTTGGCCTCAGAAAAGAAACCTTAAAGTTTTCTACAGTGGTATTCACTTTTAGAAAAATGTGACATTTCAAATTCTGTTCATTTACCAAACAACACTGTGCTTCTAATGCTCAGAGAGCAGACTCAGCTCTCCTCAGAATGTCTGGCCCGATTGACTACACTCTAGTAAAGGACATTCAGGCTGTGTCAATACAACTTACATATTCCTGTGTTGATATCACACAGGAAGCTGAACTCTGGATGCAAAACTAGCCTTTGAGCATGAAATTATTTGCCTGCACAAATAAGCAGACATAATTAAATCCTGCTCCCATTAAAGCCAATAATATTTGTCCTCTTCAGTGTACATTTTTCTAATATGAGCTGAATCTGCACACTTTTATGAGCATTTTATACATGACAACTATATTCTTACATTCTACCATATAAAATCTCGTAGTCTTACTGAATTCAGTTGATTGAAGTGTATGTTAATTGATTACAAACACTAATTTGCATGGTTCAGTCTTAATTATTTTCTTATTTTCTTACATTAAAAGCTCATCCGAAAACAGTGCCAGCATCCACCAGCTATGGTAACGTTTTCCCATTCTTTGCTACTTGTAATTACTTTTCTTTACAAGTACAATATATGCTAGATAAAAGACATATGTTAGGAAAGTTTGGCAGTTTTATCGCATGTCCTTGCCATTTAGACATACCCGTGCCTCGTCTCTCCTCCTCAGTAGGGCTGCCTTACTGTTCCCTGTAGGCTTGCTGAGGGATTTTTGAAAGCCCCAAGCTTTGCGGGGTGTTGCTGGCAAGTCCCATATCTTGGATTTCTGGAGGAATTCTCCTTAAAGCACAAAACTTTAAATGCTGCCGTACCAGGGAAGTCACAAGCTGACCTGTAGTGGCACAGTTTATGAAAGAAACATTTACCCGTTCCAAATCTCTGTCAATAGACTGATGGACTGCTTACCAAAGAAACAGTTTGGTGGGTTGTTGCTGCAAGCTCACCTTGTTTCCGTAAGAGTGATAGACAGAACTAATTTATGTCCCTGCAGTGTTAGACGTAGGAAGAAGTCATGAACTTTCAATGGCAATACTTACACAACTAAAAAAAAAAAAAAAAAAGGAAATGCATTTTCTCTCCACTCAGTGGTTATTTCAAGGTTAGTCAGTAAAGTCCATATGTGAGTTTATAAAAAATACTGGTATTTAATACATGCCGCATTTTACTCTATGCTTAAATATTCTTCAATAACTTTAATTTTCTTCCTCTCCAGCAACCCTTACTTGCCTACCTAAGTACATGGGGGTAATTGTTAAACGAGCCTATATCAATTCAAGAGGTTACTCTGCATGGAACGTACACCTGCATGACCCAAGATGCAAGCCTGTGATTACCAGTTACAGCATCATGTTCCGTATACCATACACTGGCTGTGGTACAAGAACGGAGGTAGGAATGCTTGGTTTTGAAATTATCCTCTGTCAAGATATCAGAAAAGTTATTTATTAACAACACTTTTCAAAATACTTTTCAAGATTGTTCCTGGGTGACACCACCACATGACTTTGTGAATGCCAAGTCCTTGGGTAATGGATGTTGGACACCCAAAACATAGATGGACTAAAATTGTGTTGAAATCACAACAGAACTATGTTACTAGAAGTTCATGATTCCAGGTTATAATGATATCATCAACCATCCCTATGTTTTCCCTCTTCCTTTTATAACCCTTCCTCTTCAGGTCACTTTGGAAAGCTCAGGGCTTTCAAAAACCATCAGCAGGTCACAGCTATCACCTGGTCATCAGCTGGCTCACCTATTTTCTAGTAACATTCAGGAAAAGGTTTCAGCTTCACTTTGCAGCTTAAACTCTCTACCGTTTTAACAGATTGCCCGTGGAACCATCACCTATTCCAACACTTTGGTAGGATCCAGTTTTGGCAACTTCAATGAAAGAAATACACATCCTCTGCTAAACTTTGCCTGCAAAATACACAGGAATGATGATACCGGGACATCGCCCAATGTTAAAGAGTCTCCATACCCGGAGAATCAGTCCAGACAATATATTGTCAAGTTTTTCTTTTATGATTCATCGTTTTCACATGTGATGAAGGCTTCGCCATACTACGTGAACACAGGCCAGGATGTGTTTGTTCGTGCTACCCTCTACTACCCAGATCCAAATCTGATGCTATTTATAGATACATGCGTGGTGTCCCCAAATCCTCATGACTTAACAACATTGTCATATGATTTAATCAGAACCGGGTAAGGAAAATGTCTCAACAAGTAGTTCAAAATAACACCTCCTGTGTGATAGCTGATAACAATATGTATACCAAATATCCACAGCCCTAAAACACACTTGAATTATCCACTAACTACAAGCATCAGGATTTTAAATGAGACAGTTATTAGAGCAAAAAAAAAAATCCAATTCTATTAGTTGGCATTTTATGGATAATTCACCTTTATATTCTACCAGGAAGGAAAATGAATATTTATAATTCATTCTCAGAAGATATCTCAAAAATCTATATAATAAATTGAGAGAAGAAAGAAGCATGATTAAGAGGTTCTGATGATTTGGGATGTGGAATTTTCTAAGCTTGAAACAAAAAATAACTTTCCAAAGTTAACGGGGCTACACAATAACTCTATATATTTAAAATTTCATCAAGTGTTTCATATTTATACACTCAAATATATATAACATACACAAAATTTTATATATTTAGATACATATTTATATATTGTAGGTATAACACATACCAATATACATATACGAAATCCATATAGTTACATCTGTGTTCAAGAATTTTAGGCTGTTAATTATGATTACCTTCACTGCTAAAAATTTCTGATGGAAAGTTTCTCACTATTAATGAAGCAAATAGAATAGTAACTATGTTTTGGGGTTTTTTTTTTTTGTCCTTTTCTCAGGTGCATAAGAGACCCAACCTACAGGAACTACTATTCACAAGACAAGAAGATTGTACAGTTCAAATTCAGACCCCTCAGCTTTCTCAGAAGATACTCAGCAATTTACCTACACTGCAGAATGGCAGTATGCAACAAATACAATTATTATTCCCGATGCTATCAGGGCTGTATGACGAGAGGCAAAATAGACACAAGTAACAATGAAGAAAACACCATTATTATTGGGCCAATCATACTCAGAAGATTTTAATGTTTCTTTTAATTACAGTATTGTTTATTGCTTATATAAGTGATCAATATGTTGCACGTCTGCTAGTTAGTAATAACAATGCATTATACTAGGCTCTGGATTCCACAATCAACAACAGAGCACTATTTTTGTGACAGCGTATATCTTAGTATCTTTTACTTCAATTGCACTTGTACTGTTTAATATCAGAACTTTTTGGATCTATATTCCAAATCTGTAAAAGCCTAAATTTCAGTAAACCCTCTCAGTGACAAAGTAGACTTGTTTTAGCTGCTTGATTTTTCAGATCAAGACTTCTCTCTCCTATTCTATTCTCTCTTACCATCCTTCCCATTCTCCCTGTTGCACCGTCACTCATAGCTCAAATACATTTAAGCATTTAAGAATGACCAACCTGCCCCACAGCTGTAGAGGGCACAGCGCTGCTCTCTGCACTCTTTGTCCAAAGACCCTTAAGAACACACAAAAACGTTGAAGGACCATCTCTATATCACTTTGTTGGACATAGTAATATTTTCAGCTGCTTTTGAAAGTCAAGAAGAGACATAAATCAAAGGATAAACCATCTCTAGTAACCAGAATAATATGTAAGCTATTATTTTAAATCCTTTTTCCAAACATTTTGAATTATAAACATATGGACATATAATCTCAGCAACAACTTTAAAGTTACTGTAATTTTTCTTTATGTCATTTTTAGTACTGTAGATTAGAATTATAAAAGCTTTTTGATTTAAATTATAGGCAGTTGATTCATCTCCTTTCTTTCCAATATCTGCTGAAAGAATTGGTGGTAATATGGGCACAGTCTCTTTGGACTAACAGTTTTTCTGAGGTTTAATATGCTAAATTGTCCTATTTAGAATGACTTAGTTCATAATAGATTAAAGTATCTTGACAGTCAATTGCAGAATTATGCAGTAGTATTGCAATTACATGAAGGAATTAAACAGGTTAAATTTTGATGAACTGGTTAACTTAGCCTAAGTGTGAGGAGCATCTTCAAAGCCAATCTTCCACATGGTGGTTGTGTGCAGGTTACTCAAACTCCTCATGAGCTGCTTTGTCCTGAATAAGGATGCCTAGTGCCTAGTAGCTGTGTGATACAACACAGAAAGCCACTTCTTTTCAGGAATTTTCTGTTTTGTGCTTTGTCCTTTTGAAAAAGGGATTAGATTCCTCTAGAAATCAGTTTCTCCACAAATAACTTAGCCATTCTATCAAAATTATACAGATTTCACATCTCACGTTTGAATAAATCCATCACATCTGGGGGCTCAGTCTTAGATTTGGCCTGGCCAAGTACTGAGCAGGTCAGTGGTCAGTCCCAATTCTGCACGGCTGTAATGCCAGACAAATGTAAAACGTAGCCAGGACTCAAGAGCTGGAGTATTCCCTAACCACACTTCGGTCATACAAAATTCAGTCACGCTTGTAGTCCTGCTGTTCTGCTTCTCACAGCCCTGGCTCGGCCCCTCAGAAATGCTGGGCCAATGCTCAAGCGTTTGGACCCTTCACACCCTAATCATTAATACACAAGTAATTCCAAACAGGTAAAACATCAACCTCAGTGTACATTACTCAAACTTTATAACCAGAGCATAATAGCCATGAACATATTTTCCTCGGTCCTCAGGGGCACAGCATTGATTGACTGTGTTTCATATACTACTTCACACATTTAGGGCATACAAAATGACGGCTAGCACTTGAAAATTGCTTGCAAGTGTGTGGTCGAGCTTCAGAAATGAAAGGCTATACCCAGTGAATGCAAACTCAGAATTTCCTGAAAAGCAAACGGCACTCAAACGCTATTGTAATGTCTTTACTAGGTGCATTCCATATCCTATTTCTTAAACTCATATTGACAATTAAAGCTAAAGATGTTAGTTAAATTGTGCATAACTAAAGGAAAAGGTGTTCGGGATGTGTTTGAAGGTGGTCTCCATCGCAATGTACTGCATGCTGGTGAACTTGAAAGAGCACCTCTGTTTGCACAGCTGCGCGATACCTGAGCTTTGTATTGGAAAGAGCAACACGGCCGAGCGCCCCTTATCCTTGGCCATGCGCAGAGGCAGGCGCCAGGCCAAGGGCCACGGCCAGGGTAACAACACATCTGTGCCACTGGCGTTATCAGAAGCTTTTACACCAGGTATGTGCCGTTGCTCTAGGAAACAGTCCTTATTTCAAGATGTTTGGTCCTTGGGGAGAGACAGACAATGTACTGTGAATATATCAAAGCAGAAATCTAATCACAGGAGCCCTAGGTCAGTTAGACTCTTGCCAGGATGAACTGAGGCTCTTGGGACTTTACTTGCTTCCTTACCTCAAGAGGGAAAGGCTGATTCCTTTCCTGTAGCTTCTACTGTGGGACTAAGAAAGTGTTATTTGTAAAGTGGTTGCAATGCAATCTTCTTTATAAAATCTGTGTTAATTTCACTTTTTTAAAAAAAAAATCCACAAATACATTAGCAACAGGGAACTATTATTCCTAACACTATTCTGACAGTCCCATTTTGCAACCTGAGGAATTCTCAAGGACACTGAATGATTTGCCCAATGCACCCTAAGGAGTTAGGTGTCCAAGTTAAGGAGGGCACAAAGAAGCCTCCCTCTGGCCAGGGCTGCGAGCAAACTGCTGAACACGTCTCCAGAGGGTGTCTCAAACCCACTCAGGACACTTCTGCACATGCCACACTAACACCAACAGAGCTCCACACGTGCTCCCCAAAGCGAACAGACAAACGTGCTCCGAAACCTCGAGACGCAGAGCTGACGAAAGCACAGCCAACCTTCCTGCCAGCGGGACATTAAAAAAATACAGGCACACCTGTTGGTTTCTCATTTATATCTTCTACATCTGATAAAAAAGAAACAGTAACTAAGAGATTAAGCCCTCACTCCATAATACCATGTAATACATGATAATTATGAAATCACATGAGGTATAAAAGTTAGAAAAACCTAACCTCCTTAGCTCTTATCAAAATGCAGGTGCTCAGGCAGTTCTTCCTTTTGCCTCTCTTAGCTGCTCTAGCTCTTACTGAAGACAACTCAACAGAATTTGCAGGTATGGAAATCTGATTTTTTTAATCGGTTAATTTTTATGAGTTTTTGAACAGCTATTTTATGGGCAACGAAGGGAAAAATACATGAAATGAATCTATAAAAGTGCGTCGCAATTTTAACATGCTGCTGCATAACAGTAACACCTAAATGTGACAGCAAATATTAAAAATGAGAAAAAACAGTCCCATATCTGACTTGCTATGACAATTTGACATAAGAAATCGCCTTTGAGGAGATGCTACTCAGGAATGAAAATATGCTTTTACAAATTAACATTGTATGGGGGTAACAAGAATAAATTTGTAAAGTCACTGATTTAATTGGGAAATGGTACTGCTTTTTAAGAGTTTGGGGCATTTTTCTTCTGCTGAATTAGAATCAACAGACAGTGCCCAACTTGGGGCCACAGTTCTGTCTACAAATCAAGTCTGTCTACTTGTCCTTGTCTGGAAGCTAGTCTAAACTTTTGATCATCTTTGTTGCCATCCTTGGAAGCCTTTCCTGTTCCACAGTATCTTTTCGGAGATGGAGGACCAGAATTGCTTGCACTAGCAAATATACAGTCCTCTAGGATTTAAAAAGTTCTTTTGATTCCCTAGCCTACGTCCCCAAATGCTTCAAAGCAAAGGGCTGAAACTTAGAACTGGATGCAGCAGCCTTTAGGAAACCAGTGTTGGGGAAAGCCAGGAAGCTCGATATGCTTGTGACAACCCACCTTGCAGGGGAGATTTGCTGAGGTGTCCTATGCCACTTTGCGTTTCCAGTTCTGCCACTAGCTTCATCTGTGATTCGTGCTCCCTAAATTCCTTTTCTCTGCTACTAGGAAAATATGGACAAAAAGTATTTTTTAATATTATTTTGACGTTTGATTCTTCAGGTTTCATGAACAGCTATAATTGAAATGAAAACCCAAAATTGTACAAACCTTTTTGTGTTTATTCCATGGTGCACTGTTCCACAGTCTCTGCGTATGCAGCATGAAGCACTACTGGAGAGAAACCTTGAGAGATACTCTTGAAAGATGTTTTTCTTTTCAATAGGTTTACCTCGCTGTGGCACCTCCCTCGGGGATCTCAACAAAGCCCTAAGCATAGAATTAAATTCAAATGCAAACTGCGTCTGGCAAATTCACAGAACTTCAAATCAAACAATTAGGCTCATCTTCTCCTACTTTCAGTAAGTATTTTCTCCAGATGTTTTTGTATCGTTTATTTTCATCAGTATATGGCACAGAAAAAAATATTGAAATTAACACTAGTATGGCCAAGCTGGATTTTTAGTAACTAAATACACATATAAGACATTTTCATTTTAACTTTTGCCTTACCCATAATACTGAAAAAAGTTTAAATTGCCACATAGTCTTAATTTCATGTTTAGGCAAATCTTGAGGTTCACTTATTTTTTATGGTTATTTTTTTCCTAAATTCAGCAGAAACTCACATACTTCCTTTCATACTCTTTCCATTGTGTTTCATAAAATAGTGCTGATGACAGAAATGCAGTTAAACTGATCCTGTAAGCAGTAAACATATGTTACAGGGCTGCTCTCCATTTATGAGCAACTACAAATGCTTGTAGTTATTCTTGCTGTTCTTTTATTCTATCTTTTATACTTAGCTCCTGAATCTTTTGCTTTCAGTCTCAGTTACAATGAATTATAATTGAGAAAAATCAAAATCCAAACTCCTATCCATTTTGTAATAATTTCAGCCTAACATATAGGTGCCTCCAAGTGTTTCTCTGTATTTGTTTCAATAAAATATTAATTGAATCTGTGAAGGACTTAGAGGAGCTGTTCATCTAACAGTGAGTTCAGATGGTTTTCATTTTTTTAAAAAACAGATTTGCTGCTTCTTCAAGCTGTGAAACAGAAAGCATTGAAGTGTACGATGGTCCTTCAACTAATTCATCTTTTCTTGGGCAAGTATGCAGCAACACTGACTCAGTCCCAGTGTTTGAATCATCGTCAGACAGTTTAACTTTTCTCATAACAACAAACTCGGAGGATTTCACAAGGAGCTTCTTTGCCTTCTATTATTTCTTCTCACAAGAATCAGGTAAGTCAGAACTCCACGTACTCACTCACTGACACAGCATTTGAACTGTTATGGTATCATTATGTACAAAGTTTCATCCTGCAATATCCATCTGACTCTAAATTCTCTAAAATATTTAGAAATGTTAATTTTAGTATCTTCAAGTTTTAGTGGGGGAGTAGAGTCCTATAGGTGTTATTACTGACATAACCTTAGATCCCTAGCTTTAGACTTTATTTTTTTATGGTCCATTATATAAACCATTATGCTACCATTGTATCTACTCTTCATTTCAGAAATTGAAAATTGTGGGGGACTCTTAACTGGTCCCAATGGGACATTTATCAGCCCCAACTACCCCAAGCCTTATCCTGAGTTTACCTACTGCGTCTGGCACATAGAAACAGCAGAAGAATCGAAGATAAACTTAGAGTTTGATGACTTTTTGTGAGTAAATGTCATATATACTTCCTCTTCTTTTTCATTCTGTTTAAAATATCACTTTAAACACAAGAAGGAAAGGTGCTTTCATTCTTTTAAAACATATTTACACTTTCAAGACAAAGGTGTTCTGCCTGCTCCTGTACTAAAGTAATTGCAGTGTGTTCCTCATCACTATATATTGCCCTACAGTCCCTGCAATGCCATTCAGGATTCGATACTGGTGTATGAGAGTAAAGGCAAACAAGAAGAAACGCAAGGAAGGTACATCTGGAGCATGCAGTGTAGGAGTCAGCCACTGATAACTGGTTATTTCTGGCTATTTCTAGTAAATAAGTATTATATAAAGCAAAAGAGCTATAAAATAACAAAGCAGATCCCACATTACAGCAATAGAAAACGTTCATTGATTTGAGCAGGAACAGAGTCGGAAACTTGCCAAGTATCTTTTACCTCTGAGGGTTTCCATATTTTATTTTGATAATATCTGCTTATATGTTCTATTATGCTGCAGTCTTTTATCTCCATTTACTAGAAATCATCAGATATCAGACATTTATTCTGTAGGATTCCTCATACTGGATAAAACATATGTTCTCTACACTCAGATTTCCTTATAATTACTTTTTTTTTCTCCTATATCTGTAGCCTGGAACTAGATAAAAACTGTCGATTTGATTTTGTCGCAATTTACGATGGCCTCACCACTAACTCTGGTTTGATTGGAAAAGTTTGTGGTCGTTCCCAGCCCACATTTGAATCTTCTTCAAATGCTATGACTATTGTGTTAGCTGCAGATTATGCCAATTCTTATAGAGGATTTTCTGCTCAGTTCACCAGTATTCCACCACCATCTCCAGCAGAACCCAACAGTAAGTTCAGTTCTTATTTATATATTTTTTTCTTTTTTCTTTTATTTTTTTAACCTAAGATGCTGTTTCTTCCTATCACATGTTCCTCCCTTCCTTACCTGCTAAAAAGGCTGAAATTACCTTAGTGACATTGGGCTTGCAGTTAAGCTTTCAACATGAGTTTTACATGATTTTGTTTGCCTAATGTGTGCTAAGTCATACATAAGATTGACCAAAACATGCATGACCTCAAACATGTACAAGCCATTTCAGTATCAGGTTCAGAAAAATTGAGAACCAAGAAACGGGTTCAGGGCTGGGCCTTGGTTTAGATCATCTGAGAAATGATTGCAATTTGTAGTAACTTTCTTTTCTTTCAATGGCAGCTTCGCTTACATGCTCTTCGGAGAGAATGGAAATTGTTCTGAGCAAGTCTTACCTGGACTCTCTTGGTTATAATGCAACTCACCTACGGCTAAATGATGCATCTTGCCGCCCGGTTTTAACAGATTCAGTGATTTTTTCCTTCCCATTAACCAGCTGTGGAACAGTTAAAACGGTAAAGGAGGGGAAAAATTTACAGAAATAGGCTAACAGCAGCTTGGGAATGACAAGAACTTTTAGAAACAGCTTATGAATGGAGTATGAATTTACTTTCATACAGCTCGTCCAATTGTATTTTTTCAGTCTTGAGATGTAAAGAGCATTTTTCACTGTAATAACTCAATTAACAGTAACCCTTCACATGGAAGTGCAGGAAAGTATCGATTACAAGTGTTTTAGTATTATGTTTCATTCTTTCTGCAATGAAGGCTCCTGAAAGTAGCACATTAAGTGTACAACTTAAAACATTCTCTGCCAGGGTTATAGCTGCAATGAAGGCTCCTGAAAGTAGCACCACATTAAGTGTACAACTTAAAACCTTCTCTGCCAGGGATATACCTAGCACTTATCCTAACATAATGTGGGAAGGGAAACAAGCTAAGATTCCTATGAATTCATTTATAGCATTATTCTGATGAGGGTGACAGAAGTGCCACTTTAGTACTGTAACACTTTGTGCAATATTCCTTAAACTCTTTGCTGCAGGGGTTGGCTCAGTGTTTGGACAAAAAGGAGGAAGGGTGATTATGATTTTTTGTATTGTAAGATCTGGTTTGCATTATCAGAGACACTTTGAGCCTCCAGTAAGTCTGCCTCAGAGGCTTGTGTCAGAAGCACATTTGCTTTTAACTGCACTGCTCCTGTAACAGCAACTGAACACTTTGTTAATTCCTTTCACAGGGAGAAGGCCAGAGCATCACTTACACTAACACCATAATCGCCTCTGCAACTGGCGGTATCATCACCCGTCAAAAGAGCATAGAGATCACTGTGGAATGCAAAATGGAAAACAATTCAACCTTAGAAATCATGTACATAACAGAAAACAATGTAATCCAAAACAAAACTGCCACAGGAAGATACAATGTTAGCATGTCCTTCTATAGCTCAGATTCGTTCTCTGATCCTGTATTCGAATCCCCGTATTTTGTAGACTTGAACCAAACTCTGTTTGCTCAAGTCAGCCTTTATTCCACTGATCCCGACCTTTTGGTGTTCATTGATACCTGCATAGCATCTCCAAAGCCTGATTTTGGATCACCAACATATGACTTAATCAGAAGTGGGTAAGACTAAACCCTTTTTACTATTATCTCCTAGTAAGTGACAAAATAGAACCTCAATTTAAACTATAATTCTTTTATTTATGTATCTATTCCACTTACCATTTTTGGTAGATATTTGCTGAAATCTGAATTTCCTGAAAATATAAAGTCATAGAATGGAGCCAGGAAAATCATACACCCATTTTCACTGGGAAAAAGAAAAAAAACACTGTACGTCCACATATAGAAAAATGCCACAGCTAAGTGCTCTGGAATAGTTAATGATATTAGCAAGAACGACGGATGCACCTGGATCACTAACAGATGTGTAAATTCTGTTGCAGCTGCAATAAAGACGACACTGTGGTAACCTACCCACCCCTTGAACACTATGGGAGGTTCAAATTTAACGCCTTCAGGTTCCTGCAGAACTCGCCCTCGGTCTATCTCCGCTGTGATATTTTAATTTGCGACAGCAACGACGGAAACTCCCGCTGTGCTCAAGGCTGTATCTCTAGGCAGAAAAGAGCTACTTCTTCATACGTGTGGAAAACTAACGCTGTGGTAGGGCCCATCCGCCTAAAAAGAGAGCACAGGTCTGCAGATCGTTCAGGTAAGAGGGAGACACAAATCAAGAATCTGATTATGTTAGTCTTGAACTTGGTATCAGAGCAAGGGGTTGAACAAAAGTTTGCATTTTGTGAGACAGCAGAAGAACTCAGTTGACTGATGGCCTTTCACATGCAGGTGTGCTTTTTAAGTAGAAAAAGACACATTCGCTCCGATATATATATATATTGGTATATGCAGGATCTGACTCTTAAATATGGTTTTGAGTGGTAAGTAAGGATTCCAGCATTTAAAATTTCATTTTTGAGAAGCAGACATATAGGGTTCCTTTTCAAAGGCACACAGTATTTAAAAACATTCTAAATAATCTTTGTAAAAATCTTCTAATATGGCACAATTTCTTTTTATAGTTCTAGAGAAAAGTGATGCAGAATAATAATCACAGATGAGAATACTAGGTTAAACACCCTCATACTATATTGCCTACCAGAATAAAAATATTTTGAAAAAGACAGCAACTGGAACAACAATAAAAAAAAATCAAAAAGCATGCTTTTCGCTTTGAGCTGCAAAGCTTTTTATAGGTTGAGTTTGATTACTCCAATCTGGTTATCTTTTGTAACACTTTTTGTAATTTGATCTAAAATGGACTAGATTAGTAGTGAGACCTCATGAAACAACAATCTAGAAAATATGGAAAAGCAATTCTGAAACACTTG